CCGGCCGCGCGGGCGCTGCGGTGGCGCACCTGTGGATTCGTGCGGTGGGCGGGCGCCGGCGGCGGCTCCAAGCAGCGCTGCGAGGGGCGCGAGCCCGGCCGAGTACTGGAAAGAACTTGGTCTCCGGGGAAGAAGCCAACACAAAACGTTCACGTCTGACTCGTGGCCTCGCCGCTTTCCGAGCCGTGACCTTGGCCAGGTCCCCTGATCTCGCCGAGCCCATCTGTGAAATGGGAACAACAGTATTTTAGTTCGTTGTGATTATGTAATGCACGTGGTGCTTAGCGTAGATCCTGACCGGTTCTCAACCAAAGGAAGCGACTCCCGCCGCGCCTCCTGGAGTTGTCTGTGCGGTGTCACACAGTGGGCTGGGCTCCCCTGCCTGTGCCTTCTTCGTCCCTCGAGTCGGCGCAGCCTTCCTCAAGGGCTGCTGATTCCTAGACTGGAAGAGGGAGGTACTGAGATGAGGCGAACAGTGATTTAAGAGGAAAAGTGAATAGGATTTTTGGTAGGTAATTTTCAAGATTTTTTAAGATAAATTAAGAAAGAGCTACCCAAGATATAAGTTAATAGTGGTGGGAGTTGGGTTTTTATGTTTGTTCTGAGACACGTGACATGTAAAGCTGTACAGTCAGCTAGAACAACATGCTTATCTGGAATGAGTGGCTTTAGAGGGCAGTGGTTCCCAGGCAATTCTTTTAATTGTTGGAATTGGAATTAAATTTTATAGGATCTGGTCAATAGATCCTGTCACTTCGTTATGATCTTTTGGAATTGGTGATTAAGTTGCAGTTCAGAGAGATACAGTGATTTCTTTAACGTCAGAAGAGGGAAGACCCAGATTATTTTTAATGTTTCGGGGTGTTCATCCTCTTGTGAACCCTTATTAGCCACTTTACCTAGGTATATTAAGGGTAATAATTGTATTAAGTATGCAGATTATGTGATTGTTGTTGACTGTTCTCTTTCTGGGCCTTTATAATCAGTTATGGATGATGGAAACGACCAAAATTAACTTCATTTTCACATAACATAGGGAAACAGTATTAAGTCCTTACTGTGCACCGAGCACTATGCTAAGCATTTATGTGGAATATATCCCTTCACACAACCACCTTTTCGGGTGGGTACTCTTACTTTACCCATTTTTAGAATTGAGAAAATAATAAGGTTTTGAGAAATTAAGTAACTTTCTCCAGATCACACCACTAATAAGTGGTTTTGATTCTCAGCCCTGGCTCTGCATTAGAGTTAACACCACTCCCCCAAATGTAATCAGCTAGTGATTAAATTTTATAGACAGCGATAATTTAAGGAATGCCACAGAAGATGACTTTTACAGGAAGTCTGGCTTTATAAAATATTTAATTCTGCAGAGCATTCCTCCTTTGTTTATATCACTGTGAAGTTTTTTAAATGTCCAGTCTGTGGTCTAATTTAGACTCCAGCCTCCTGATTCTTCTGGGAATGGGTCCCCCTCCCCCATCCGTTTTCCCCAGATATGTATGGTTGTTGATTATCTGAGATTCCCCCAAAGTGTGACACAGAGGGTTCTTATTCTTGTTAAAAGCCAACAGATTTGAAGATTTGGGGAAGGGAAGGTTTGGTTTAATCATTTATCCTAAAGGTGGTAAACTTCATTTAGAATTTGGGAGACAGTTAAGGAAATGGGATCAGAAGAACTGGTTAATCTTCTCTATGGGGAAATTAATTTGGAGTCCTAATTCCTAGAGTGCCAGGATTGAGAAACCTTTATTACAGGCTTCTTCTAGAACCTGAAGCCCTAAATCTACCATCGGTTTCACTTTTGCTACTTAAACCTCGAACCCCTCCTACAAACTTACAAACCTTAATCTGTCCTAGCCATCACTGTTTTATGCCTTAATTTGTTTTAAGATATAATTTACATTCCATCCATAAAGTTCACTTGTTTAAAGTATATAATCCAATGGTTTTTTAATGTATTTACGGAGTTGTGCGACTATAATCTAATTGGACATTTTCATCATCCTGGAAAGAAACATTATAATCCCTCCCCCTGTCTCCTGGGAACCACCAATCTACTTTCCATCTATAGGTTTATCTGGTCTGGACATTTCGTATAAATGGCATCATACAACATGTGGTCTTTTGTGACTGATTTTTTTTCCATTCAGCATAATGAGAACATTCATCTGTGTTGTAGCATGTATCAGTACTTCATTCCTTTTTATTGCCAAATATTCCATTGTATGGCTATACCACATTTCATTCATCCATTCATCAGCTGACGGACATTGGGTTATTTCCACCTTTGAGCTATTATGACAAATGCTGCTATGAATATTCACTTATAAGATTTTGTGTGGACATATGTTTTCATTTCTCTTGGATAGATAAGTGTGGAATTGCTGGGTCATATGGTAATTCGACTTTATTTGTATCTTAGCAAATATTTTAATTTTAGTATTTAGTGATGATTTTGAAGGACTGAATTCCTTATTTGATGGTTTATATTCATTGCCATTGTTTGATGTTTCTGATGAGTATCATTCTTTGTAGCTAAAGAGATTCCTGTGTAGAAATACAAAACAACTCTTAATTTGTCCTTTTTACCTACTATGGATGATATTACTGGTCGTTCTTTAGACTTGTGCTGTCAAAGTGGTTAACAGGCTTATAAAATTAGGGAAGGGAAGACTAAGATTCCATTTTTTAAAAATCATACTTATTTGAGGTTTTATTTTATTTGAACTTCAAGTTTACTACCTAATAATTTCCTTTAATAAATTCATTCTGGGTTGGAATTTTTATGTGAACTGGAAATGTTTAATAAACACTAAAATTCTATCTTCCAAAGAAGCAAATTAAGATAAGATGTATTAACTTGAAATTCACCAGTCTTTGTTCAAAGTCTGATAATTCCTTTATTATGTAGAGAGGCACACTAAAGTCCAGAGTTAATATGGCTTTCTCCAGTTTACAGAGTTAGTTTTAGGTGAAACTGATCCTCAATCCAGGTCTTCTGATAACTTCTCCAGTTCCCTTTCCACTCTTCACTCCTTCCCCTAATGCACTGAGTAGGAGAATAAAGAAATTAGGGGGAAATGCTGAGAAATTTATGCAATATTAAGATTTCAGAGTTTAAATATATTAACAAAAAAGCAATTAGTATTATATATTTATGATTTTACTATTTTGCTTAAGGGCAGTGGTGATTTTTGCATTTCCACTCTAGAAAATAGAAGACTAGAATATTTGCACCCCCTGAAGAGACTTCTTTAGTATTAATTGATTCCGTATTAAGTTATGGCTCTGAGAAAGCCAAGATGCCTTAGATGAGCAAGTTTAATTTGATCTACGAGGAAATACTTAAATTTCACAACCATAGATTTCTGTTGCGGGTTTTGTTTGTTTTTGTTAGAGCTTGGTAGGGCCAATGAGTCTACTGTTTAGGAAATTACAGTTCTGTTCTTTGACTGACTTGACCGCAGTTGACTAGTGATGGGACCTCCTGTGACAGGAGGTGGAGAAGGATGAAAAATAGGCCC